AACAAAAAACTATACCTAATTATCTCATATTCAAACTGCAGACAATGTTTATTACAACTTCAGTCATAATTGCCAAACTTGGAAGTAATCCTCAATAGGTAGATAAATAAACTATGGGGACAGCAAAAAACTCAATGGTGGGTTGGGGGAAGAAAGGAGTGAATAGGTGACACACAGATTTTTAGAATGGTGGAACAATTATGTATCATACTGTAATGGTGGATAAAAGTCATTACACTTTTGTCAAAACCTATAGAATGTACAATACAAAAGAGTAAATGTAAAACGATGGACTTTAGTTAATAGTAGTGTAACAATATTTGACTCATCAGTCATACAAATACAAGGTACCAATAATGGAGAAACTATGTTAGGAGGGATTTAGGAACTCTCTGTACTTTCTGCTTTTTTTTTGTGAACCTAAAACTCATCTAAAAATGAAATATATTAAAATTTTAAATTATGGTGTATGGTAACTTGTGATTTAGACCTAGAGCAGTGCTTACAGATAATTTTTATAGTTTTACTTATATTAGAAAAAAGGAAATGTCTAAAAATCAAAGACGTAAAAGTTCTATCTTAATAAACTATAAAAGGAAAAGGTTAAACTCAAAGTAAGTAGAAAGAAAAAATTACCAAAGGTAAGAGCAGAGAGATCATTGAAATAGAAAACACAAAAATATGGGGGGAGAAATGACAAAGTTAAGATCTGTATTCTTTGGAATTGACCAACAAAATTGATGAAATCTCTAACTGGACAGATGAAGAAATAAAGAAAGGACACATATCACGAATATTAGGAAAGAAAAATTGATTACTACTACAGATCCTACAAACATTAAAAGGATAATAAGAGAACATCTTGAATAATTACTTCTATAAATCCAACAATTTGATTAGTCAAATTCCTGAAGATACAATTTACAAAATTGACAGAAGAAAAAATAGAAAGCCTGCATAGCCCTATATCTATTAGAGAAATTGAACTGTATGTAATTAATCATCAAAAGTGTACATGTTACCAAATCATCTAGATTTGAGGTTTTCTTCACCGAACCCAGAGGTTTCACTATTGAATTAAATCAAAAGTTAAAGGAAAAATAACACCAATTTTCACAAAAACTTTCAGAAAATAGAGTAGGAAACATATTCCAGCATTTTCTATAAAGCCAGCACTATTCTAATACCTATACCCATGACATTACCAAAATTATAGATGGATTCCTTAATGAACAAATATGTAAACTTTCTTTACCAAATATTAGCAAATCACATCCAACAATGCATACATGTCAATCTGTCAAATCAGAGGACAGAAACTATAACAGTCATTTAAACAAGGGAAGTTAACTATAAGGAATGATTAAACTATGATAAGAAAGTTATTACAACATGTGAAGAGAATTCTAAAGGGTATCTGAGGACTGAGAAAAAGTATTCGAAGAGGGTCAAACTTGGAAAGAGGGCTACCTCTCCAAGACTGGGATTCAAACCTAGTTGAAGAAGGTGTGACTACAGTCTGCTGAGTTGTCTAGGATGATCCAAAGTTACTAGCCAAGCAGAAAGCAAGCCTGCAGGGTGCAGGTGAACTGAAACAGGTGGGTGGACACACAGAGGGAGTCAGGGTGCCACCATTAGACATAGAGGGTAGGTGTACACCTTGGAAGGTACTTGGGGCACAGCTGGGTCACCACCGACTTGTAGACAAGCAGAAGGATTTGAGGTGCCACCAAAAATGCAAAGCCTGGAGTACACAGTGTTGTTGACAGGGTCAGAGGAAGGTATGCAGCAGTCTAGATGCAAGGTTGTTATGGGGCTATATGTTTTAGGCATGCAGCTAGGGCAGAACACTGCCAGATAATGCTACAATCACATCATTGAGTCACTGCACTCCAGTAGGAACCAGGAAGAGAAGCCCCCTCCTCCTGCACTATTCCTTTCTACTGAGAAAACATTGTGCTCACCGGAAAAGAAAAATACTTTAAAAATCTAGTCTATTGTGGTAGGTTAATTTGGAGCTGGGAGGTAATACATTGATAACTGTCACAGTCCACACCTTTGACTTCCCAGCTTCATTATGCATTCTTCTACACGTATTTGAATTCTTTTACAACAAAACAACGTTGTATTTCTACCTACCAAGACATAGCTACCATACATACAAGTGAAGATTCTCTTACCCTTCTCCATAAGAAGATGCATAGTATTAATATTCATAGTATCTATCTCTGGCTATATGAATTTCTGGGCAAAATTCACTAATAGTTCCATTAAAGACTAAATTATCAAGTTAACTTCCAATACCTTGCATATAAAATGAAAATAGGGAGGAAAAAGAAAAGTTAGTATATATAAATTAACCATGCATATAACAAGAAAATATGCAAAGCTACTACAGTCTGCTTTTCCACAGTTAGGCATGAAGTTGGAATTGATATCCATAGTTTCCTTCCTCAACGACTCATTCCATATTTCTCTTGCTTTAAGTCAGAATCTCATTTGCTCTGTGTTCTTTACTTGGCAAAACAAGCCAAATAAGTATTCCTGAAAGTCCCAAGCTCTCAGTCATCCTCCCTTGTGGTTCCTGTAGTGTCCACTAACCTTTACCATTAGACATGGAAATATGAGGAGGCACCCCAGAGAGTTTTCTGGGTTCCACACGTAGTCTTCCTTGCCTCTAATTTCAGACTGGTCATCAGAATCAACCACTTCAACCATTAAGCTAATACCACCACCCCTTCCTTTCATGTATGTTGTTTCACAGGCAAAAGAAGCCCCATATGGCTCTATGGCAGTCTCATCTTCCAATTCAGTGGAACCATTTTTGTCTTCCACTTCTCAGGCGGAAGCATTCTCCCACTTCCTGACCACTACACCATGGAGACTAAAATCTTCAAACAAACAAACTGAAAGCTGACAGGATGGGAAACAAAAATTCCATGAGAAGGTGGGGTGTAAAAGTGAGAGGATTCACCATCACTTCCACTTCTTACTTTCATTTCCAAACCTGTGCCTGCTGTCTTGGGAGCAGTGGGGAAGGTGGTGGGGGAGGGCAGAATGGTACCACATAGTGGTCTCTAATTCAAAGCATAAACCACATTCTATAAAAATAGGACCCCACTCTTTTAGGGTATTTTCTCCCAGCTAGTGTCATCCCTAAAGCAACAATTCCTGTTTATTTATGTATTTATTAGACTTCATATGTACTTTAGCCAAGGACCAGGGATTCTTTCTAGACTTTTAAGAAAGAGGAAGTATTAACACATTTGTAGGAGAAGTAACCAATGAAAAGGTTGAGACAAGAGAAATTGACCTTAGAGGAACTCACCTTAATTTGATCTCAAATTAAACATTTCTAAAGCCAGGCTATTAATTGTCAACTCCTTTCTGTTTTCTAGTCTTCTGGTTCTCAGCATCCATTTACCTAGCTGCTCAGGTCAACATCTTAGAAATCATTCTGAATTCCTTTTTTCCTTTAGCCTCATATCTAATACATAAGAAAATTTAGTTAATTTTACCTCCAAACTACATTCTGGTCCCTGAAGCTCTGTTCATCTTTTCAACGTTTTCTCTCTATTTTTCATATTGGGTGGTTTGTATTGTTCTATCTTCTGGTTCACTGATTTTTTTTTCATCTGGCTCCTCCATTCTGTTATCAAATTCATCTATTAATTTTAAATATTAGTTATTATATTTTTCATTTTTAAAATTTCCATTTGGTTCCTATTGATATCTTTTATTTCCTTGCTGAGACATCATATTTTTTCATTTGCTTCAAGTTTACAATTGTATTTTGAGGCTTTTAGGATGGCTGCTTAAAAGTCTTCGTAAAATGATTCGAATACCTATGTTGGTGTTGGCATTAATTGAAGTGGTTTGTTTTTTTTTTCATTTAGTTTGAGATTTCCCTGGTTCTTGGTACAATGAACAATAGTTTAGTAAAACCTGGAAATTTAGGATATTGGTTATACAACTCTAACTTATTTAAACCCTCTATTTTAGCTGGTTTCATCTGATACCATTCTGTCAAAGGAGGGTGCTTCCTCATTACTGCAGGTGAGGGTCGAAGTCCAGGTTCCTCACTCCACTTCCATTGACATCCAATATTACTGTGGCATAGGTGGGGGTGGGGATTGTGGCATCACACTAGGCCTCCATTTTGATACCATCTCAATAGGGAAAAGGAAAGTTGCCTCATACTAGGAGATGATGGCAGAAGTCCAGACTCCCCATATGGTCTCCAATGACACTACCAGGAGTGAAGAGCTCATTGCCACCCAGTGGGGATAAATGTCTCAGCTCCTTGGTCTTCTTTGACATCTGAAGCTGGATAGAGAGCAGTAAATATGATGAGTTTTCATGGCAGCTTTATTATAAAACTTGGAGAATGACATTTTAAAAATACTGAATATTCCAGTTCTTTATCATGGTAAGTTTCCATTTAAATCTTTGAGATTTGAGAAATCTCAATCATATTTTGTAGTTTTCAGTGTACACATCTTGCATATCTTCTATCAGCTTTATCCCCATATGTTTCAAATTTTGATGCTATTTAATTTTTTAAAAATTTCTTTTTCTGATTGTTCATTGTCAGTATTAACAATATAAATAATCTTGTGTATTAGTATTATATTCTACAACACCTTGCTAAGCTTGTTCAATAGTTCTGGTACATATTCATAGATTATAAAGGATATTCTACATAGAAAAGCATGCCAATTGAAAATCAAGAGACTTAGCTGGGGAGATTTGCCAGGCATCGGTGTCTCTGTGAGGCTCTCAGAGGTAGGCTCGGGGCACTGAGGGAGCCCAAGGCGCACCTGGAAAGGCGGTGGGGACACAGCGGCACTGCCCTGCACCCTAGACATGGCATGTTGCCCTGGCTGCCAGGCCCCACAGTGAGCTGTGACCCTGGGGAGGCCTGGAGCTCAGGAGAGGAAGCCTGGTGGGGGGGCAGGAACACCTCCACAGGAAAATGTCTCCCCAGGTTCCCTTCACCTCAGTTGGCATGGGAAGTAGCCCCTTCAAGAATGACCCTGCTAGCACCCTGGGATCCCAACTACCAGGTCAAAACAGGACCTTGGCTGGCATGCAGGGCCAGCTGTGGCTCTGGCACCTCCTTCTCAGGCTGGACACTGTGTCATCCCTCGTTCTGGCCTCTGTACAAGGCAGCCTCAGGCAGGGGCTTCAGGACCCTGGTCCCTGCAGCAGGGCATCAGAATAGAGGGCAGGAGCCCAGGGACACACCAGCTCCACAAGGAAGTAGCATCGAGGTGTGGGAAACCCGGGCCGCTGTCCTCGTGGTGTCTTCTCCCCAGGGGCCCTGATGATATGCTGGGAAAGTGTCTTTCTCTTGGACCCTCTGCTGCCCCTTGGGGGTAGCGTGTTTCCCTGTACCTGTCCAAGGCCTCCCAGCAGGTGATGGGTTCCTTGAAGCTGCTGCTCCCACCCCCTGCCATGTCCCCCTGGGTGGTTCCCAGCCCGTCCCTGGGCAGCTCCACAGTCATGCTCACAGGGCCCAAGTTTATTGCCCTCACTGGCCTGCTATAGATGAGCCGGGGGAGCCCAAGCCCAGCTCCTCAGCCTCCATGGCTTCCATGCCCTTGGCTGACCCCCCCCCCCAGACCCTATCTCTGACCACCCAGGCCCTGGTGGTAGCCCCAGCTGTCCCCTCTCTTCCATGGACCCCAGACACCCATTGTCCATAGCCCCCTGAGACAGAGTGGGCATGTTGAGTTGACAATGAAACTGTTGGTTGGCAAGAAAGAAAGAAAGAAAGATCAAGAGAGTTTTAATTCTTCTGTTCTGCTATATATATACTATTTATTTCTCTTTCTTAAGTTACTGCATTTGGCTACACCCTTCAGGATAGAAGTAGTAAGAATTAACATCCTTGCCTTACTTATAATCTTAAGGGGAGAATATTTAGGCTTTCGCCATTAAGTAAAAGTAAGGGAAGATGTAGTTTAGATATTGCTTTTCCTTTTTGTACATTTTCTTAAGAAATACAAAGTGGATTGCCTTACTTGACTCTGGTATGGCCATGTGCTCTTTGAGCTTTAGCTGTTGCCATGTTTCCTGGCTTTGGCCCCCCTCCCCTACCTTGGGGAAGTGAATCTCTCTCTTACTTTCTAAATAAACTATATTTCCTAATCTAAAAAAAAAAAAAAAAGAGAAAATAAATACAAAGTGTGTAACCTTGTACCAGAAAATATATCTAGAAAAACTTCAAAATAATATGCAAAAACAACAGTGCCTCATCGTGACCCTAGTCAGTTCTTTTCCCTCACAAGGGGTTCAAGGTAGTGGTGATTACAGCAGGGGACTCAGGTTCCATAGCTGGGAAACTCTCCCTAGAGGACCCTGTGTGCAAGGAAGGGCATGGCTGGTGAGGTTGCTGGGAATATGAAGATGAAAACCTTGGCAAGGATATTTCATTTTCAAGATATTTTAGCTGGGTAAAGAAACGGGTTGAAAATTGTGTTTTTCTTTCTGTACTTAAAGATGCTGTTTCACTGTCTTTTGGCTTCCATTGTTTGTGATGAGATCTGCTTTTAACCTTACTGTTGTTTCTCCGAATGTACTGTCTTTTTTTAATTTGACTGCTTTTAATATTGTCTCTTCATCATTGGTTTAAAGCAATTTATTTTTATGTGTCTTGATGTAGTTTTCTTTTATGCCTTTATGTTTTCAATTCTTGGAATTCTAGTTTTCATTCTATTTGGAAAATTTATGATCATTACATCTTCAAATATTTTTCTCTACCCTTCCCCGTTTTTTGGGAACCCCAATTGCAAGTGTATTTGGTTACTTGAATTTGTTCCAGAGCTCACTACTGTTCTATTTTTACTCTGTGTAGTTCATTTTGAATAGTTTCTATCGCTATGTCTTAAAGTTCATCAATATTTTCTTTTGCAATACCTAATATACCATTAATCCCATCCAATGGAGTTTTCATTTCAGACATTGTAGTTTCACCTCTATCTACTTGTTTTGGGTCTTTTGTATGCTTTCCATGTCTCTACTTAACATATTCAATCTTTCCTCTAGTTATGAGCATATGGAATAATATTTATTGTACTTAGCTACTAGTTCTGTCGTCTCTGACATTACTGGGTCCTTTTTTACCAATTCATCTTTCTCCTCACGATGGCTTGTATTTTTCCACTTTTTTGCATGTGATCTAATTTTTGATTGAGTGCCAGACATTGTGAATTTTATCTGGTGGTGCTGTGCATCATTTGATTCCTGTGATCACTGTTGAATTTTGTTCTAAAATGTGATTAGGTTGCTTGGAAACAGTGTGTTCCTTCTGGGTCTTGTTTTAAATCTTTGTTGGATTCAGAGTGCTATTTAGTCTAGGGTTAAATTTGCCCTTCTACTGAGGCAAAAGGCTTTTAAGTACTCTGTCTGATGTTTTGTGAATTGTTGGCTTTTCCATGGTGGCTAGAAAAAAAGGCACAGGTGTGTGAGCTCTGAAGAAGGTTTCATTTCACCCTCTCATGGACTGCTTGTCCTAGCCTTGAGTAGTTTACTTACAAACATTCACTGATCTGTATTCAACTGAATATTTGATAGTGACCCTCTCCTTTATGAACTCTCCTCTCCAGTACTTTCCCTTGTAAACTCTAGCTGCCTTGACCTCCTCAGACTCCCAAGCAGTTTTGTCTCCCCAGCTCATGAGAACTTCAGAGGCTCTGCCTGGATTCCCATTTCCTATACTGTGGCCTAGAAACTTCCTCCATGCATGGTACAGTTATAGGGTTGACCTCGTTTTTCTATCACTCAGGGGTCATTATCCTTTGTTGCCTGCTGTCCAGTATCTTGAGAACTGTTCTTTCACATGTGTCTTTGTATTGCTGTTGTGTATATGGGAAGGTAAATCTGGTCCCTATGACTCTATTTGCCCAGAAGCAGAAGTTCACCTCAGTTTTTAATATATTAATTTCACAGTTCTCTTTCACACTTGAGTACAACCCAAAAAACCACATCCTCACCGTAACTTTCAATAAGTAAACTAGCTTATATGTAAGTAAACTGGTAGCATAAACTTGAAAAGCAAATGAGGTTATATTTTTAAAAGCAGAGGGTATGGTAGTAAATCAGGTAAAGTGTACACATACAAAGATAGGTAATGCAATATTCTTTCAGAGTTTTCAGAATATCTGACATAAAAGTTATTTTCCCTCATCATTCCTTCCCTGTCCACATATACATACATCTACACTACACAATATTCCTTGACTATAATTATACGACGGGGGACTCAAAAAAAACCCCTGAAATCTATTTATTTTTAAAATGTGTATTTATTCTCACATGTTTAAACTTCCATCACCTTCAAAGTATACGTCATTGGATGTAATATGCCTATCAAAATGCTTTTTCCACTGCTCAAAACAGTTTTTGAACTAGTTATTTTTGATGCTTTTTAGTGCTTCTGCCATTTTTTATTTCACCTCTTTCACATTGGCAAAATGTTTCCCTTTGAGGACCTTTTTCATCTGGGGACATTTTTTAAAAAGTCACTCAGGTGAGATCAGGTGAATAGGGAGGGTGAGTTTTTTCTCAAAAACTTCTGAACACTCCGTGTGGTGTGCACAAGTGTGTTATCAAGGTGGAAGAACAAGTTGCCACAACTGGGAACGTTTCTTCCGCAAATTGTGACACAACCTTCTCAAAACTTCCAGATAAAAACTTTGGTTGACTGTTTAATCCAGAGGAACAAATTCCAAGTGTCTTGCCCTCCAAAAGAGAATTCTTGTTTTTGCAGGGGAGGGGGCTCCCCCTCGTACCTTTACACAGAGTATAGTTGCTCTTCCTCAGTATAAGAAAAAACTCGGGGAGGTGGACAAGTTGAGTAGGAGGAAAATAAGACCTTTTTATCAGGCAGCAACAAAATTCAACCATAAGTAAGAGAAGGACTTTCACATCTCATAGCTGATATTGATTGGCTGAGTGATTTTCCAGTTCATACAAGTAGTCCTGAGGCTATTTGTCCTGCATCTCACCCAGTTCTTCAACACTTCATATTAGTTTTTCCTCAGTCACAGATGCCATTGGGTAACTGTCTTTACCCTTCCCACACTGACGCTGCATTTGTCTTTGAAAGGGTGAAAAGTCTGAAGACATTCCTTGTTGGCTTTTCGCCCTTTCAGTCTTAATGCAGGAGAAAACCTTGAGCCATGGAGAGAATAGTCAGACTATAATTAAAACTTTAACATAGTGCATCAACTGGGTAATGCAATAATTTGCACTCCCTTACAAAAATCAAGACAAAATCAAAATGCTTGGTGGACTTCTTTGAATCTTGGAGACAATATGCATACATATATATCTAGAATGACTAATTTGCCTGGAACTGTGCAAGGTTATGCCTGTTGTCTTGATTTTTGATGTAATCTTAAAGAGTGCCCCTTTCACTTAAAAGTTCCTGGACTTGGACAATAAACAACACTGTTCCCTACTCTACCATACTTGAGTGTACTTCTCTACCCATTTACCAATAAATCTGTAAAACTGGCACTTCTGAGTGGCACCAAGAACAAGAGCAGGTTTTCCTGCTAGTTCAGGGTGCAATGTGGCCATCACCCTCAGGTCTAGTCAAGAGGTGTATGAATAAATCTCTTAGAGTGCACAGAGTATAAGAAATTGGTGTCCCATATGAGTGTTTGCCAGAGGGAGCCCATGGCAGAAGAGGTTCCCAATAACCAGGTGGAAAATTTGACTCACTGTGTAGACCTCTGTGAGCACCTGTCTCCTACCTCTCAGTGGACTTGTGTAGAAAATGACCATGATAGCTGGAATGGAGGTTAGGCAAGCATGGACATTGCCATAAATGCTGATCTGGCTGCCAGTACCACTACCACTGTGGAATGTCCAGCCTGCTCACCATAGAGGTCAATATGCAGCCCCAACTGAGCGCCACGCCTTGAAGGGAGCAGCCAACCTCCTAGCAGCTGGTTGATTGCACTGGACTCCTTCCATAATGCAGAGGGCAGGAGTTTGTCCTCATTGGAGTAGACACTTATTCTAGGTATAGATATGCCTTTTATGTCCACCACTCTTCTGGTGTCTCTCCTCATGGACTCACTGCACATCTTATTCATCACCATGTTATTCTTTACAAGTTTGCTTCTGGCAGAAATTTATTTTACAGCAAAAAAGGTGAGACGATATGCTCAAGGGATTCACTATTCTTACAACAGACCCCATCAGCTAGAAGTCACTGGTCTTGGAGAATGGCGGAGTGACCTTTTGAAGACTCTTTAGGATACCAGTTGGGAGAGTCACAAGTGAAGTTAGAATTTTCTTCTTTAGAAGAATAGCCAATCTGTGGTGTAGTTTCTCCCAGAAGCAGAAACAAATGGGTTCAAGACTGAAGGGGAGAAAATAGAAGTGGGAACTACCACTGTGGCAGATGATGACCCGCTTGCCACTTGTTGCTTCCTGTCCTGTGTGGTAGGTCCTGCTTCTTTAGAGGCCTGGCAATGAAAGAAAGCAGGTTTCCAGAGGGGGGTCAGTCATGGAGTCAGTGACACGGCCACATGGCCACTGTTGCTGCTGAACCAACTGCCGTGACGTGGAGGAGCTGTGTTGGCCGAGATGTTGCTACTAGTTAGCAGGGGAACTAAGAC